TGATGCTTTTAATATCTTTTCTTTGTTCTGCAGATTTAGTATTTTGACTATGATGTGATGTGAGGAGATTCTTTTCTGGTTTAGTCTATTTGGTGTTCTGTAGGCCTCTTGTATGTTTATGGACATCTTTTCCTTTACTTTGGGAACATTTTCTTCCATGATTTTCTTGAAAATATTTTCTGGACCATGGAGCATGGAATCTTCTTTTTTCATCTATTCCTATTATTCCTAGATTTTGTCTTTTCATGGCATCTTTGATTTCTTGGATGTTTTGTGTTTGGAACTTTTCTAATTTTACTTTTTCTTTGAGAGATGTATCAATTTCTGCAAGTGCATCTACAGCACCTGAGATTCTTCCATCTCTTGTATTCTATTGGTGATACTTACCTTTGTGCTTCCTGATTGTTTCTCTAATTTCTCCAGCTCTAGGGTTTTCTCTGTGTGTTTTCTTTATTGATTCTAATTCCGTTTTCATGTCTTGCACCATTTTCTTCATCTATTTGAGTGTGGATTTTTGTCTTTCCACGATGGCCTCAGTTTTTTTGTTCATTTCTTCTCTATAGGCCATTAATTGTGCCTCTATTTGTTTGGCTACAGTTGCCTGTATTTCTTTGTTTGTTTTCTCTTTATATGTCTCTACTCATGCATCTGCATGTTATTTTCTCTGTTTAGCTGTATTTACCTGTATTTCTTTGAGAGTTTTGTTCATTTCGTCTCTATATGCCTCTCCTTGTGCCTATATATGTGCCTCTATTTGTTTGGCTGTATTTGCTATATTCCTTTTAGAGTTTTGTTTATTTCATCTTTATGTGCCTCTAATATCTGGATAAGTCTAAAATTGAGATGATTTTCCTGTGTTTCTGATGAATTACCATGTCCATTGCTTTTTGAGGTTGCTGGTGAAGCCATGATGTCCTGATTTTGTTGGATGTATTCTTATGTCATCTATAGCCATCTGCTTATCTGTAACAGTCACTGTTTGTTCCTGGATTCTGTACTTCAGACTAGGTTTGTCTTTATCTGGTGCCTGCAGTATTCCTAAGAAAGATGAGATTTGTCCACCAGTGTGAGAGAGGATATTGGTGTTTCATCTGTAGTTAAGGGAGGAAGGTTGAAGGTGCAGGTGCACAAATGAGGGGATTAAGCACCAGCATGTGAATGGAAGTGTGCCTTGAAGGACAGGGTGCTAAAGTGTGTGGATTCCTGGAATGTGGGGCATAAGCACAGGAGGATCTGTGGGAGCTGGCGCTGTTCCCAGGCTCAATGCACATGGGAAGGTGTCCTGACTACCTCAGTGGCCTATAGGCCTGTCTTACTCTCCTCCTGGTATTCAGATCTGTCTAGGATCCAGGAATTGTTTGCCTGGACTCCAATGGTAGACCCAAAGAACAGGGGCTTCAATGTTGAAAACGCTGTCCCAAGAATCCTTATATTGCCCACAGTGAAGGTGTGGGTGAGAAGGATCTGATGTCTCGCTGCTAGCATAGAGGGAGCCTGGTTTTAGAGCTCTGCATGCACACGGACTCACTTGTAGGCCTGATTAGAAAGTACAGGGGTTCCCCCTGTTCTCTATTCTCAGATTTGGCCCTGCAAGGGCAAATGAGAGTGTAGGAGATATTTCAGCTGGGTGGTATCCACTGTTTGTCTGCTGGGCAGGGAGACCTCTACTTGGGGTAGCCATTTCTGTTATCTCAGGCATGGAGCATGAAGGTTCCTGGAGGGCTAGCTGCCATCCTGCTATCACTGCTGCAGACCTGAGAGGCCAATACAGCACCCACTGGCAGGCCCTTACAACTGCTTGCCATTGCAGCAGAACTGGGAAGCTAGAACAGTCACCTGCTGGGGGACTCTGAATAGCCTGTACAGCTGACTGCAGACCCGGGTGGCCCATACAGTTGCCTGCCATCACAGGATCCAAAACTCCAAAACTGGTGAGTGGAGGGGCAGCTGTAGTCAGAACATCAACAATGAGGCTTCCTGGACAAGAGGAGACAACCCAAGAGCTGGGACAGTTTGCGTCCAGGTCACCCATGGACGTCTCTGGGGACTGAGTGGTGAATATTCAACCCCCCTGCACTCCATCTTTCCCTGAGCACAGGCCTCCCTGCTCGGCAGAGGCAGCAGTGGTTGCCCCAAGCAGGTGCCTCCACACCAGGTGACTGATACCACAGACATGGCTATCCTATTTATAGGTCTTCATGCCTGAAGGCCAAACAGTGAACACCGCTGAGCTGACAGATCTCCTACACTCTCATTTGCCCCAACAGGCCCATATCTGAGAGTGGAGAACAAGGGGAACCACTGTAATTTCCAATTATGCCTTGAGTAAATGTGCCTTCAAGTGAGTGCACACAGATCCCTAGATCCAGGGTACCTCTACACAAGCAGCCAGACTTCGGATCCCTCCTACCCATACTGTGGGCAACAGAGGGATACTTGGGACAGAGTTCTCAACATTGAAGCTCCTGTTCTGTGGGTCTACCAGTGGAGTCCAGGCAAACAATTCCTGGAGCCCAGAAATATCTGAATACCAGGAGAAGAGAAAGACAGGCCTGTAGGCCACTGAGGTATTCAAGGAATCTGCCCATGAGCCTGTGAACAGTGCCAGCACAGTACCACTGTACTTAAGCTCCACCCTTCCAGGCAGCTACTCACCTAAAACCCTGTCCTCCAAGGTACACTTCCATGCACATACCTACACTTGCACACAGGTGCCTACAAACTTCCTCCTTTGGCTACAGCTGAAACATTAACATCCACTGACAAAGTGGTGGACCTCTCTCATCTTCCTGAGTAATACTCTAGACACCAGAAACAGATGGACCCAGTCTGAAGTGCAGTCTCCAGGAACAAACAGTGAAGGTGACAGATAAGCAGATAGCTAGAGGTCAGCATAAGAACTCATCCAACAAAAATGAGGACATCATGGTTCACCAGCAACCCCAATAGTCAATGGATATGCTAGTTTATCAGAAACACAGGAAAATGATCCCAAATCTATCTTTATCCAGTTGTTAGAGGCAAATAAAGAGGAAACAAATGGAATTTTCAAAGAAATACAGGGAACTACAGCCAAACAAATAGAGGCACAGGCAATGGCATATAAAGAGGAAACGAACAACAACAACAAATAGAGGCCATCATGGAAAGACAAGAATGCACATTCAAACAGTTGATGGAAATGTGCAAGACATGAAAACAGAATAAGAATAAATAAAGAAAACACAAACAGAGAAAACCATGAACCTGCAAAACTTAGAGAAAAGATCAGGAAGCACAAAGGCAAGCATCATGAATAGAATACAGGAGATGGAAGAGAGAATCTCAGGAAATGAAGATACACTTGTAGAAATTGATACTATCTCAAAGAAAAACTAAAATTGCGAAAGTTTCAAATACAAAACATTCAAGAAATCAAGGATGCCATGAAAAGACAAAATCTAAGGAAAAAAAAAGATTAGATGAAAAAGAAGATTCCAGGCTCCAAGGTCCAGAAAATATTTAGAAAATATTAGAAACTATAGAAAATCAAACAAGAAAATTTTCCCAAAGTAAAGGAAGAGATGTCCATAAACATACAAGAGGCCTGTAGAATACCAAATAGACTAGACAAGAAAAGAAATTCCTCATGTCACATAAAATTCAAAACACTAAATCTGCAGAACAAAAAAAAATATTAAAAGCAGCAAAGGGAAAAAGGCCAAATAACCTATAAAGGTAGATCTATCAGAATCACACCAGACTTCTCAACATAAACTATGAAAGCCAGAAGGGGCTAGGCAAATGTCATGCAGATTCTAAGAGACCTCGGATGCCCAGCAAAGCTTTCAATCAACATAGTAGGAGAAAAAAAAATACTCCATGACCAAACTAAACTTCAACAATATCTACACAACAATGTTCACATTCTGTGTTTCTGCTGGCCTCTGCCACACAACCTGCCAGTACATCCCATCTGCTCTATCCACCTGACTCTCCTCTACTATTAAGTGTGTGTCTGCTTCTTGGATCCTACCATCTGGGCTTGGAACCTGCCCTAACTAAGATGCTTCCCTCTTTCTCTATTGAAACTACCCTCTTTCCAAAAAACAAAACAAAACAAAACAACAACAAAACAAAACAACAACAAAACAAAACAACAAAAACAAACAAACAAAAAAAAGCAAAAAGCAAAAAAAAAAAAAAATCCGCTCTCAGTCTCCCTTTCCAATGTTTTCTTCTTTACCTGCTCTAACCACTAAGATCATCTTTTCTAGTGGGTAAATGTCACTCTGGAGCTGCCTGCTTTGTCTAGTATTACCCGTAATGGTAGAACCTGAGAGGCTCATACACACTTACCTACTTTAGTCTTCTAAAGTATCAACAGCTTGGTTCAGAGTGTGTAAAAAAACGTTTTAAAGGTCTTAAGGCAGAAAAGTTTAAATTGTGAGATTCTAAATATATGCTTTAAAGTGTGTAAATGTAAGTGCCAAAAATCTTAGAAAGTTATTGAATGTAATAATATTTCTGATTTCTTTTCACTGTTCTTCTGGGAGCACAGCAGTTGAGGCAGGCAAGTGTTGGGTGCACTGGGAACTTACACTCATACTGGTTCCTTGTCAAAAAATGTCTTAAGTTATTAACAAATATACCATCTGACAAAATCAAATTCCTGTTGCTATGAACTACTAAAATACTAATCTACCCTAAAATAAACCTTAAAAGACAACACATCAGTGTTCTCCTCTGGGTCCAGTGAATGAGCAGTATTCATCCATACACACACTGTGAACATACATGACACAGATATAACATACAAATAACATCCATGACATATAAGTAACATACATAACATAAGTTGAACATACACACTGATATGTCACTACTCTTTGTACATATGCATGTGTGTGTATGTGTGTGTGTCCCTCACATATACATAAAATATGTGCACATACACACACAGGCACACACACACACACACACACACAGATTCCCACTGATATTGGTTAGTGGGATTATACTCATCGTAAATCAGTGATCATCACTTTGGTGTCCTGGGTGGTGACATGGCTACAGTCCTGCAATTGAAGAAAAGTAAATAGGGTCAAAGCATGGAAAAGTCCTGTTTTGAAACAACTTCTGCTTCTAATATTATACCAAAAGAATGGCTCTTGTGACCTATTCTAGACCATATACACTACATAGTCCTGGAGGATCTTGAACTTATCCTCCTGCCATTAGCTCCCAGTGCTGTGCTATAGACAAACACCATCATGGCATATTTCAGGAGTACTGAGTTGAATCCAGGACCTTGTGCTTGAAACATAAGCTCTTCCCCAACTGAGCCATGTTCCCAGACATAAGCCTCTAATATAAGAAGCTCTCTGAATGCCCGTAGTTCTTAGCTTAGAGGTGAGATTATGGGTCAGTGAGATACATGGACAAAGGTCTGGGACCCAGCACTCCTACCTAGTACTCCTCATAAACAGAGTCAGTGTCTCCCATATATCTTTACACATGTTTTTTTTTTTTTTTTTTTTCAGAGCCAGTTGTGAAATATCTGTTTATTAAAGGGAACCAGTAATCTTGGAGCTGTGATGATAACCATATAATGGTCCTTGAGGGTATTCATATGTAAAACAAAGTCACAAGGCTTAATCAATATGATCCCAGGATTTTACAAGTCATTGGAACTCTGCAGCTTTATCTCTGGATTTTGTGTACTTTATGGGGCTGGTTCTGGTCCTTTCACTATGTTGCTGCATTTCCTCTGAATGCAATCTCTATGGAAGAGTCAAGGCTGATATAAGGTACCAGAATCTCATTGACTTGAGGCTGATCTGATCAGATATCAATCTGATCATACTAAATGTGTTATCACTAAACACAACCTGGGAGAAGAAACCACTACCCTAGGCAGGTATGAACCATAACATCCAGGCAGAATCCCAGGATAAAAGATACTTAATTTACCTATCTTACATGGCCTTTTCTTTATTCAGATCTCTAACTGAAACTTAGTAACTGATATTGGTGAAGAACAAGGTAACATGTAATAAGCATTGAATAAACTAATGGATTCCATACTCTGTTACTTCTTTTCCCCATGATACTGGAGATGGAATCCAGGGTCTCACACATGCTGAGCTCACACTCTGACCCTGATGTACACCCCATTCCTACTTCCATTATTCTCTCAAGAGCCCTGGAAAGTACACTGTATTAAAATTCACAGATATTAGGTAAAAGGATCAGTAAGGGTCAATATCCTCAAAGTCCATAAATGATCAGGTTGTAAATGAGAGAGAACTTCTCTTCACTGACCACGGCTTTCTAATTACATAGTTATGGTTTTTCAGGAATGTGACCAACGATGCTGAACTTCAAAGTGGATCAGAAAACATGGGAAACCTTATCAGCTCTATGTCCTGGCTGACACCAAGGTCTTGATTCACTGTACAAAGATACATATGGAGAAGAGAGGAGTGTCCTCTCTATGAGGATGGAACCCCCTCATGGAGCAGCAGGAAATTTCATTTATCCCAGTAGATGTCAGTGAGAAAATTCCAGTTCTGAAATGAAAAAGCAGAGTCATAGTCAAGCAGATATGCCCCTAGGTCTCTTCCCTCTCTTCTGTCTACCTTTCTCTCATCTTTTCTTCCTTCTTTATTTTTAGTTTTCTTTCTCCTCTTGTTTCTTGGATCTCTCTTTTTACTCTTTCACTCTCTCTTCTCACCCCTCCTCCTATCTCTTTTCTCTGCAGAACTCTTCTTCCCATCTCTAGAACCTGTGAACCTTTTCCTACTGTGATTCGTAGTCATCACGGTCATCTTCATCCTTCTCCTAGACATTGTCCCCCTCTTCCTTCCTTCTTTCTTTTTGCTTTTACTTCATCCTCCTTGTTCTCATACTCCTACTCTTGACCGTGTATGTCTACATCCCCCTATTTCTATTTTTTTCTCATCCTATACGTCTTCATTTCACTGTAACCAAAGTGGGCAGAGGTATTCAACAGTAGAAATGAATAGGAAGAAGAACAAAGCAATGCATTAGGTCCATTTAGATTAAAAAAAAATGTGAGGAACAAGGGATAAAAATGCTAAAATCAGAGTCTTCTTGTCACTCTGGGACAATATCCAGGATATATATTTTTTTAACCAAGGAAGGAGGATAATTAATTGCTTTTCCAATACTAGGTCTGCTGAGGAATTCAGAATAAATTGACATTGGGAATGAAAAGAGAGGACATTCATGTACAATGTTTGGAGTAGAATTTCTTCAACCTCTGTTTCTTGATGTTACTTCTTGATAGTTTGTCCTAGAAAATCATCAGTGATATAATCATGTTTTTTTAAGAGCAGCTAGTATTAATTAGAATGTTGCTCTTAATTAAACAGCAATCAGTTAAGACACTCAATAGATAAATTTTAAATAATTTTCAAACATGAAATCATTTTGCTCTTGTACCTTCCAGATCTGAATCTTACACACTCACTCTTTGTTTTGGGGGCACACACCACTGCGATGGACTCAGGCAGCATCTGCTGGTAGCAAAAATGGGTGTGTAGGTCCACACTTGACAAGAATGCTCTCTGAGTTGGATGAGTCTACGAAAACAAAAGAAGACAAGAATTGCAAGTGAGCATAGCCAGCCAGGTCTGATCCACCAAGAAAGGTAAGCACAACCAAGTTTAACAATTGGCCCCTAACAAGATTCCAGAAATCATTTAAGGGAAACACTCATCTGCTAGGTGGAGAAGGAAGAGGAGACAATCTGCTTTGTCATCCTAACACATAAAGGCCAAAAGAAGCTAAGTTTCTCTCTATCACTTTTAGCTTGTCCCTCACTGAGAGCAAGACACTTTTATTCATTCATGCTTAGTTATACCTTTCCTTCCTGTGTGGTTTCTGAGAACCTTCTAGCCAGTACTCCTGCAGCATTGTTGCTGTTCCATCACCCACTGTGTTCCATGTTCTCCTTATTAGACCTCCACCTCGGCTGCCAGGCAATGGATTTTCTTGCAGCCAGCTCTCCCCATTTACCACATTTCCTAGGCCAGCTCCATGCAGAAACCTTCTAGGTCGTTCTCCTGGTTTCTCTTGGCTTCCCCAAACTTCCTTCCATTGGCCATATAGGTTTGATATCTCACATATACCTTAAATTCCACACAGTAAGAATTAATTCCACTTCCAATCTCAGTCCTTCTCTGGAAGCCCTACTCATACTTATGAGGGAATCACTACTATCACCATGAACCCAGCTGAAAGCCTGTTCTGTCCTAGACTCATCATTGTCTGGTGCTCATTACTCTGAAATCTCTGAAATCTCACTCCTCTTCAACACACTGCTACCACCTTCTCATTGGACGTTAGTAGTTCCCAAACCTTAACTGATCTTCACATCTCAGTCATCCTCGAATCTTCTTCACTTAACTATTGCACTATGGCTTTAGTCATGAAATGTCTTTACCCAGAATAACACAAACAGTTATCCCTCAACTCAAAGTCACCACTATTTTTCCTGCCCACACCAGACAATGAAGACCACTCCTTTGATAGGTCATATCAACAAATATATGTCTGATACCAAACATCTCTAATAACCTCCCAGTTCTGCTGCTGTGGCTGGATACCCAGTGGACCACTTTACCAGCTTCTAAGTTCTGCAGCTGCAGCAATATCAAGCTGACTACATCCACATTTGCCCCAGAAGTCCTAAGTCGGAGAGTAGAAAACAGCGAGAACCCCTGTGCTTTCCTATTAAACTTGCTAGAGTGTGAGTGATCCTTCAAGTGAGTGCCTGCAGAGCCCCAGATCCAGGGTCCCTCTATGCTAGCAGCCAGACATTGGATCCCTCCCACTCACACACCCACTGTGGGCAACATAGGGATTCTTGGGAGAATGTCCTCAACATTGAAACCCCTGTTTTACGGGTGTATCAGTGGAGTGCAGGCAAACAACTCCTGGATCCCAGACAGAGCTGAATAGCAGTGACCTGTGAGATATTCTGGAAATCTGGGCATGCACATGCACATTGTGCCCTCGAACAGCACCATAGCCTGTAACCCTTCCTATGCCTGTACCATTCCCTGCCCCACATTCCAGGCATGCTTCACTAAAGCACACTATCCTTTAAGGCACATCTCCATTCACACACACACATGCTTGCTTGCTCACATTTGTGATTCTGGGCAAATGGAGCTTCCATCCAGCTTCTTTCAGGTACAGCTGAAACATCAACACACACTCTCAAACCAGTCGAATTCTCTCATCACCCTGAAGAATACTCCAGACACCCAAGAGAGACAGACCCAGTCTGAAGTGCAGACTCCAGGATCAAACAGTGAAGGTTATGGATAAGCAGATGGCCAGAGCTTGGGGTAAGAACATATCCAACAAAAATTAGGACATCATGGCTTCACCAGCCAACTCCAAAATCAATGGATACTCCAAATCATCCGAAACACAGGAAAATGATCTGAAAGCTATGCTTATCCAGTTATTAGAGATACATAAAGAGGAAACAAAAATCTCTTAAAGAAATAGCTAAACAAATGGAAGCAGAAGTAGAGACACAATTAGTGGCACATAGAGAGGAAATGAACAACAACAAAAAGGAATAAAGACCAGCATAGAAAGAGAGGAATCCACTTTCAAACAGATGAAAGAAATGGGGCAAGGCATGAAAACAGAATTAAAATCATGAGATTTCACCTTACACCCATCAGAATGGCCAAGATGAAAAACTCAAGGGACAACACATGCTGGAGAGGTTGTGGAGAAAGGGAAACCCTTCTCCACTGCTGGTGGGAATGTAAACTTGTACAACCACTCTGGAAATCAATCTGGCACTTTCTCAGACAACTAAGAATAGCCCTTCCTCAAGATCCAGCCACACCACTTCTAGGCATATATCCAAAAGAGGCTCAACTACACAAAAAGGACCTTTGCTCAACCATGTTTGTAGCAGCTTTATTTGTAATAGCCAGAAGCTGGAAACAGCCCAGATGCCCCTCAACTGAAGAATGGATGCAGAAACTGTGGTACATCTACAAAATGGAGTATTACTCAGCAATGAAAAATAAGGAAATAATGAAATTTGCAGGTAAATGGTGGGACCTGGAAAGGATCATCCTGAGTGAGTTGTCCCAGAAGCAAAAAACCATGCATGGCATATACTCACTCATATAAACATACAACATAGAATAAACCCACTAAAATCTGTACAACTAAACAAACTAAGCAAAAGAGAGGACCCTAACTAAAATGTTCAATCCCCATCCTGAAAGGCAAAGAGGATAGACATCATAAGAAGAAGAAAACAGGAAACAACCTTGAAACCTGGCACAGAGGGCCTCTGAAAGCCTCTGCAGTATAGACTGTCAAAGCAGATGCTGAGCCTGATGGCCAACTGATGGGCAGAGTGAATGGAATTTTATGTAAGAAGTGGGAAATAGTAAGAGCTGGAGGGGACAGGAACTCCACAAGGAGAGCAACAGAACATGATAATTTGAACACAGGGAACTTCCCAGAGACTCATACTCCAACCAAGGACTATTCGTGGAGATAACCTAGAACCCCTGCACAGATGTAGCCCATGGCAGTTCAGTTTCCAAGTGGGTTACATAGTAATGGGAAAAGGGACTGCCTCTGACATAATCTGATTGGCCTGCTCTTTGATCACCTCCCCCTGAGGGGGGAGCAGCCTTACCAGGCCACAATAGAGGACAATGCAGCCACTTTTGATGAGAACTGATAGACTAAGATCAGAAAGGAGAGGAAGACCTCCCCTATCAGTGGACTTGGGGAGTGGCATGTATGCAGAAAGGGGAGGGAGAGTGGGATCAGGAGGGGAGGAGGAAGGGACTTATGGGGGGATACAAAATAAAGTGTAATTAATAAAAAATTTAAAAAAATAAAAAAATTAAAAAAGAAAACACAAACAGAGAAAAGATCAGGAACCACAAAGGTAAGCATCACCAATAGAATACAAAGGATGGAAGAGAAAATCTCATTTGCAGAAATTGATACTTATCTCAAAGAAAAAGTAAAATCTGGAAAGTTCCAAACACAGAACTTCCAAGAAATCAAAGATGCCATGAAAAGAAAAAAAATCTAGGAAAAATAGGAATAGATGAAAAAAATAAAAAAATAAAAAGGATTCCAGGCTCCAAGGTCCAGAAAATATTTTCAAGAAAATCATAGAAAATGTTCCCAGTGTAAAGAAAGAGATGTCCATAAACATACAAGAGGCCTACAGAACACCAAACAGACTAGAACAGAAAAGAAACTCCTCATGTCAAATCATAATCAAAACACTAAATCTACAGAACAAAGAAAAGATATTAAAAGAAGCAAGGAAAAAAGTCCAAGTAACATATAAAAGCAGACCTATCCGAATCACATCACACTTCTCAACAGAAACTGTGAAAGCCAGAAGCGCTTGAGCAGATGCCATGCAGATTCTAAGATACCACAGATGCCACTCCAGACTACTATACCCAGCAAAGCTTTCAATCAACATAGATGGAGAAAACAACATATTCCATGATAAAACTAACCTTAAACTATATCTACACAGCAACCCAGCCTTACAGAAAATACTAGAAGGAAAACTCCAACCTAATGGAGACTACAACCAAGATAACATAGGATACAGATAACTTTACAAGAAAAAATTAACAGAAAACAAGCAATGAATCACTGTAACACCACCAACCACACAATAAAAAGAGCTAACACTCATTATTATTGGTCATTATTATCTATCAACATCAGTGGACTCAAATCTCCAATAAAAAGACACAGATAAACAGAATGGTTGCAGAAACAGGATCCAAATACATCCAAGAAGCACACCTGATACATCCAAGAAACACACCTTTGCAACAAAAATAAACAGTACCTCAGAGTAACAGGCTGGAAAAATGTTTTTCAAGCAAATAGACCCAGAAATCAAGCTGGGTTACCTATCCTAATATCGAATAAAATAGACTTTCAACCAAAATTAATCAAAAAAGATGAGAAGGGCACTTCATTCTCATCAAAGGAAAAATCCACCAGAACAACATCACAATTCTGAACATCTATGTCCCAAATACAAGAGCACCTACATTTGTAAATGAAACATTATGAAATCTGAAATCACATATTGATCCCAACACCTTAATAGTGAGATATTACAACACTCCACTCTCACCAAGGGACAGATCATCAGAACAGAAGCTAACTAGAGTCATAATGATACTTACAGAGGTTCTAAATCAAATGGATCCATTAGATGTCTACAGAACTTTTCACCCAAATTCAAAAGAGTATAACTTCTTTTCAGCACCCCATGGAACCTTCTAAAAAATAGACCATATATTTGGTCACAAAACAAGCCTCAACAGATGAAATTGAACAATTGAAATTTCAACAATTGAAATAACCCTTTGTATCCTATCTTACCACCATGGACTAAAGCTGAATCTCAACAAGAGCAGAAATAGCAAAAAGCCTACACAGACAGGGAAACTGAACAATTTGCTACTCAATGACAGCTGGGTTAGGGAAGAAATACAGAAATTAAAGATTTCCTAGAATTCAATGAAAATGAAGGCACAAC